TCAAAGCGAAAAAAAAAATTAAATCCTTGTAAGATTTAATGAATATACGAAACCAAAATATATTCATTATGCATAAGTTATTTGATTTACTATTTTATTTTTAAATAAAAGCCATTGAAAAAATTTAGATTATATGATGAACCAGTTATGGCGAATAATTCATTCTCAAATAATAAAAAAAAATAACGAAAAGATTTGTGCCATTATTTTGCGCCAGTGCAAGAATTTTCACGAACTTTACAAAAGAGCAACTATTTTTTTTTTTTTTTTTGGAATTGGATCATTTTTCATTATTCTTTTAATAGCGTTTTCTACTGACATTAATATTTGACATCAAATTTAAAATATTACGTATCGACCGAAGATCTGAAATTTCATTATTTTACTCTTTATTTGAACATATCCTTAATATTCTTGTTTCAATCACAAGGTTTTGCTCGCAGGTTTTCTATGAATGTATATTACGTCCAGTATGTGTCTTAATATTTTTTTCTGTTTTACAAGCGTATAACAAGAAATAATTCATAGATCCGAGCAAAAATGATTTATGTATGTAATTATTTTATTTTTTAAAAATTTACACATATTTTAGATGAATATTAAATTAGGAAGAATGGTCATAAGGAGAGTTGATCATTTTTTGTAGCTGTATGACTTGTCAATATAATAATACCTTTTTACATTATTTATATTCGAACCATTGTTTTCATCTTTGTTGTTTTTATCATAACATTTCGGACGTTGTACTCTCCGGTCTTCCTTAGGTGGATATCGGTCTGGATAACCACAGAGAATTCTGAACAGAACCTTTTATTTAATCTACGAGGATAGACCGTTCTCGTTCTACTCATATCTAGAGATACCGTGACTAGTCTTTATTTTTAGTTAAGTTCTGTTATTGCTCGCTCGTTTCCACTGAGTCCAAGTACACACTGCTCGGTCCAAGGATTGAACTCACTCCATGGGCCCGGCAGCGTGTATGGTGTAGATTAAATAAAACGATCTGTTCAGAATTCCGTGTAGGTTACCCAGATCGATATACACCTGAGGAAAGCTGGAGAGCACAACGGTCGAAACGTTGTGATAAAAACAACGAAGATGAAGAATATGTCCGAATGTAAATAATAACTCATCATCCCAGAAATTCAGACAAAAATTATAATACCATATATTTTTTTTATTTTCCATAATACTGAAGACTATTTTTATTGTTTTCTTATCCACTTTAGGCGATTGTACTTAAAGTCAGCAGATGAGATATAAACTTGAGAAATGCTAGCGAATGGAACAACCGAAATGTAGTAATTAGTACAACAAACGTTGCGGATTGTAGTCCAAATAAGTCATGTATTTCTTCAAAGTGTATTCTCTGAATAGGATGCAATTTAGTATGTGTATATATATGTGTGTAAATCGTTGAAAGTTTATTTTTTAACATAACAGCGTATTTTTAAAAAGTATATATTCCTCACCGATCGAACTAAAATAGGAGAAAACATATTTTCTGAAATATGGCACTGATATAACTATGTCGGTTTAGTCTTCGGTGAAAATCGGCGTTTGAACCTATGAACGCTTGGCTCATTTTAATCAAGGACATCACAAGCAAAAGCATTACCATTGATCTACCTGCGTGAATATAGATTTATTGATATTTACTAAGATTGTATTAGTGTGGTACAAAAAAATACAGTAGTGGGGGTACACACTGAAGATAGAACTTAATATGCTAGCGAATTGATCTACGAGTCGAACTTACTAACCACCGCACACTGGGAGGCGCCCATACATGTTTGCCAACTTCAGCTTCGTCTGGAATGGAGCCACAATGGAGAACTGGAATGGGAAAGTTCTGCAAGACTAAACAGCTTTGTACTGAATTACAAAAAGCGCCTTTCTCTTTCTTTCTCTCATTTTTAATATATATATATATATATATATATATATAGTCTGTATGTAAATGTTTTGCATATATTATATAAAGGGCAAAGATGTACGGGTCGTGTAACGGATATCGTCGCGAAAAAATGGAATCGATATGCCAAGTTAAAATTACAGGCTAGTCTAGTGTGTACATTTTTGCCTCGCGAAAGGCATGGATCTCTCTCTTTTCTCCGTAGTTGTAGGTTAAATAGCTGGGCAGACTGGACATTCTAGCCTTGGGTGGCAACCTAAGAAAATAAACCCGAATTCCAAACCATGGAGAAGACAACGGGAAATCCCCCCCATCGTCATTCTCAAGAATGCAATTCACAGAGAGTAAAGAAAAGGTGTCCCCAGAGAGTAAATGAGAGATTCCATCCAAAAGGGACATGGCATTATGTATATAAATTTCATTGGTTTTACCAAAAGAAATAGCAACTTTTACTGATCATGTGGTTTTCGGTCTATGCAAGCATAGTACTATGCATACAAAAATACATATTTAATGTTATCTATTCACATAGATATAGACTATGGATGAATGGGTCGCTATCGACGCGAAAAATGAAATTGGCAGGTCGAGTTTAAATTCCGACCGAGGGTTTTCCGTGTAGTTAGCTTTAATTTCCTTGGAAAAGGCATGAACTAATCTCTTATAAGATAGACTTACTACAGTCTAAGAGAACGACAATTCAGAATTTAAAACCGTGGAGAAGGCAACGGGAAATCATTCCATTATCTTTATCAAGAAGTCGTAGAAATGCATATATATATATATATATATATATATATATATATATATATATATATATAAAAGTGTGTGTACTCACGCCCGTAAATTTCTGTATGAGTCTTTAAGCAAAGTGAAGTCTGAAGCGGTTATGCATCACCAAACAAAGAAATGATAAAAAAAATAAGTCAAACGTATCGGATTTTTATTTTCAATTGCTAGTCTCATTTTTAAAATTCTCTTAACAAAGGCATGAATTCCAGTGAACCCAATATTCTCTGTGCTGATGTTATTAAGTTTATGAATGCTTATATGGAAGTACATGACAGCCAAAAGAGGCCCGCAATGCCATCAGAAATACAATTACTCTTTACTTCTCAGTTATTTTTTTTAACTCACTTTTACTCATTTCTAACTATTATGATCCTCCTTAGAATTCCTCGATCAACAACTTTATTCTCTTTACGAATTTAACTTTGTACTGGTTAGCCGATTTATTTTGTTTTTAACATCTTTGTCTACAATTTTAAAAACAAACGCGGATCGCTTAATTCCATCCCAGCATGGGCATTTTTTCTAACTCAGCGTTTTCATATGTTGGGTCACCGAATTCCGCTGAGTTTCTCAGTATTAAACGTTTGGGGTCCGTTGCAGCATTCTAAACTTTTCCAAGAGTTTCCGACATAAAACATTTATATATTTAAAATGACTAAAGATTAATCTCATATTTGCACATAAAATTATAAGTTCTGTCATGCAGTAAAAAAAAAAAAAAAAAAAAAAAAATCAAATATATTGTTAAACAAATAAAATGCCACCAATAAAATGTGCAAAATTTCTGTTATATACATTTTAGTCTAGGAAAACAACAAAAACGAATGAGTTGTACTCGAAAACAAGATTGTGATGTTTTGATAAGTTTTTAACAAAAGTAAATAGGGTTGGGATTGTTTTGGAGGAAGATTAGTTATCAGATGTTCGGCAAAAGGTTGGAAACCCTTGCTTAGTGTCCTTATATCGTGAGACGATGTTGCCTGCTTTCTCTTTTGTTACTTGATCAAGGAAGAATGGACGATTCATTACACTTAAATCCAATGTTCATTCCCAGTATTTTATAACTCATCGATTTTCATACTTCTGTATAAAGAAAACTCATTCAGTTTGATATATTTCTCTATTCGCCACTGGTAATTATTGACTCAACGTCATGTATCAGCAATAAAAAAAAAAAATATAAAGGGACAGAACGCATTGGCACCATCCTAATAAAACAAATCCTTTATTTAACCTTACTATTTCTTCATTTCAGCAATACAGTCTCTCGAGCTAAAAACATAATACTGTGTATGTTTCTAATGAATGTGTCGTTTATTAGCATACCAACAGAGACTATTAGATGTCAACATTATAATATATAATTGTATGATTTTGTAACTTATTATTTCACAATGCACCGATTTTTATTGCATTTAATTTATGTATGGAATTAAGTCATGGCTCGTACCGGATTTCATAGTCATTAAAGAATTTTTTTTTGGTCAAAGCTTTGATTTTGCTAAGGGAATGGAGTTTATATAACGTAACTAATGAGTGAAAATATTTAAGCAGAGATGTATTTATGCGTTTATTTAGAAGTAGTAATTATCCAAACTCTACAATGCATGTGATTTTGTGTGGAAGTAATTATTCACACTCAAACAGAAAAACCATGGCACACTGATATGGTCCATTATTCTAAATTTTAGCTGTTTATGATGCGATCTCTTTTACCTGTTTGAAAGAAGGAAAAATCCATCGCCTAGCGAAGGTTACTTTTTTTTTTGTATGCCCGTAATATTAAGCATCTTTATTCAAAGACTATATATTGTATTCTTCCTCAGGAAGGGAGCCTATTTGAATCTTATTTTTTTTTTTAAATCGTTTTTTTTTCTTTATTTGTTTCCTATACTGTATTCCGAATTTCGGCTTTGATCTGATGCAGAATTAGTTTAAACCCCGGATCAGCGGAACACTTAATTCATAGCCGAAGTTCAAATCGATTGTAATATGCATTTCACGAATCCGTCTTCTGTCTTTATTAGATCCGTTTCTGTATTTCATATTATCCTCTTGATTCCCCCCCACCCTGACAGAATATTAACGACAACGATGATCTCTGATCAACATTTCCATCAGCAGTAAGAGCAGCAACAGTAGCAGCAATCAGCAGTATCAACGTCATTGGTATTTTAAATATTGTTTTGGTCCATTTATTTCAATTTGATTTCTTTTACTTTTTTTTTGTACTCCACCATCTGCAATAGTTATCATTACCCTCCACATCTCAAATCAGATAATCTCCCCGGCATCAAACGTACGAAACTTCGTACTCAAGGTCATCGAGAGCTTGTAACTCTTTCTGAATTCGCGTGAGATCCCGCTGCAGTCGCTTGATCCGAATTTTCCGTTCGTTGTCGATTACTTTCTCCATTCCTTCAGCCGACGGGATATCGAACTGCTCCGGGTCTGGGGTTTGAGCGGCTGCCTCTTCTGCCACTCCTTCCTCGTTCCCCGCGCTTGCTATACGAACAGGAGTTGGGGTCTGCGGATTTGGAGTCCGAAGCTCAGGACTACGAAGATGAAGATGCAGGCCTGTGGATGACGTGCTTGTTGAAGAAGACAACGCTGAAGATAAAGATGACGAGGATGATGATTTAACTGACGAGGCCGCGGCGGCAGCTGCAGCGGACGCTCGTGCCGCTGCCCGTGAGGCCGCCTTTGCTGCCGCTCTGGCTGCCGCCTTAGCCCATGTTTTTGAAGTTGATTTGAAACTGCTCCGGGAACTCGTAGAGGGCTTCTGCCGACTTGGGCTTGCGCTACTCTCCTGTGAATCCCCGATCTCTTCCGGAAGAGCCTTAGGTGCTGTCCCTGTTACATAGATACTTGGGACAGGGGTGGTGGCATCACCCCCGTCACCAGGTGTCATAGTTTCTCCAATTGTATCTTCGGACGTTGTCGCAACCTCAGCGGACGATCTTGATGATGTCGGAGAAGACGGTTGTCTTTTAAGTTGGATTATGGATGCTAGTGTGAAGGAAGGAGTATTTGAAGATGTGCTCGCGACTGCTTCGGTATCATCTGGTGTTGCTGTTCTAGCTATAGTTATCATAGTAGTACTACTATCACTAGTGGTGCTTGCAGATGTAGTGGTAGTGGTAGTATCTGTAGTGGAAGCAGAAGAAGAAGGAGGAGGAAGCGGAGGTAGGACTTCAGTGGAAGGAGTCGGCGTCGGTGCTGGCTTTTCCGATGTTGTTTCTTGCTTTGTTTGTTGAAGTTCTTTTAGATTTTGCAGCTTAAGCTCTCGTAGGATCTTCGGCGTCAGTATCTTGTGAAGACTAAATTTCATGGAGGAAAGATTTGAGGAGCCAGTCGATTCTGTCCCAAGGTTGGGGGCTGTAGATTCGTTTGCAATCGGGCTCACTGGAATTGAGGATATCGACATAGCCGACTGGGAAGCTGAAAGGTTTAACAGAGAAGGGGACCCTATTCTGAGTGAAGATGAAGATGCTGACAATGTTAAAGATTCCAACGTCTTTCCTGGATATTTTTCCTTTTCAAACCGTCGGGACCTGACACTGGTTTCCTCTTCTAACTCCTCACTGCCGCCCCCAGCCTCGAAGCTATCTACCGTGAAGCGGACTGTTTTCGGTTGATCCCCCTGAGGTGTAAGGGCGTCGCCGGTTTTCATCTTGGATGGCATTGAAGGTGATGATGGAGGTGAAGGTTGAGTGAACGAACGCTGGAGGCCGGGTTTGGGGGACGGTAAGGAATGAGTCTGATGCTGCAGTCGTTGCCTCGAAAGCTGAGCTGCTTGCTTTAACTGAAATTGAAGACGCTGCGATAATAAGGACACCTGAGGAGAGATAGTATTTACCGTGGAAGTCGTTGTCTCACCAGAAGACGTTGATGTAGCCGGTAACGATGGCGTCTGCGGTGGTGTGACTACACTTCTTAAAGAAGCACTACGTCGACCAGAGAAAAAGGCTCGCGCCTTTGACCCTTTTGAAGTCAGTTTACTTATATTAATCTTTTCCCATCCTCCTTTCTTTTTCTTCTTCTCACTGTCTGTCTTATCCATAAATAGTCCGTCAGTGATCTCGTCAAACGTCAACTCATATTCGGCATACTGGGCTGAATTCGGCCGTTTTTTCAGGCCGCCGATCTTTTTGGGCGATTTGCCAGATATACCGTCACCGAGTTCTTCGTCTCCGTGGTCGTCCATTTGTTGACGGCTGTCGTCTGTGCTCTCACCGAAGTAGGAGACCATGTCATCGGCGTCTGATATGGAAGGACAACTGCCGAAAGGAAAAATAAAAAAAATACGGTTTCTGTTAAAATTTTGGATTTAATAAAATGAATACGAGAAAGAATTTTTCGAACAGAAACAAATTTTCTTGTAAGCAGAAATAAAAAGAGAACAGTTAGAGAAAAAAGAAGGATATAAAAGAAAGAAGAGGAGGTCTAAAAGCGAAAGAAATAGAAACGAAGAGTAAGGAGAGAGTTGAAAAAAATAAACAAACAATATAGAGATAGAACGAAAAAGTGAGGCGCCTAGAAAAATTATACAGTTCTTACTCATGAAAATATCAACAAATTACTTATTATTTACATCATATTATATACATCATATTATATACATAATATCAAAACTTACTTAAAATTGTTCAGTTCTGTGTAAAAAAAAATCATCGGTTTTGATTGTTTTTATCTATATTCTTAAATATAGAAAATTCTGTGGATCAAATCTTAAAAACATTCTTTATAAAAAAAAACCTGTTTTAAGTACTTTTAGGTGAAGCATTTATTAAAAAAAAACTCTATTGGAAGAAAAAGCAATACTAATAAATAATGTATTAACAGTCATTTATTTGGCTTAAAAAATTTATAAAGTTTTTCAGACGATCACCTTGCACCACATATCTCGCCAACATAATGCCAAGTCTGAAATCTAGCTGATACCTTAGGACAAATGTTTAGATATTTAATGAAAACTAAGCATTAGCGTCTGGAACACGGGGCAAAACAAACAAACAAACAAGCAAAAAACTCCAAGAAACAAAAAAAAAAACAAAAAAAACAAACAAAAAACATAATAATCAAAAAATAAATATCACAAAATATTATGAAAATGTTACACAAGAAAAGTGGCTTTATAGCAAAAAAAACGTCTGGTGTAGTATATCCGTTAGCAAGAAAATCTAATTAAATCATTTGCTGGAAGCACACTTAATCATTCTATGATTTAGATGAATATTGTTAGCGAATTGAATGTAACTTGAACCCAGTGTTTGTCTCTGGTATTATTGTTTTCTATTGCTTTTTTTTAAGAGAAGAGAATCCCAATATAAAAGGTCAGCTTACTGCGTATTAATACGCACCCCCTCAAGATCAAGGATGTAAAAATACTTAAAAATGTATTTTGTTCAGGAATTAAACATTCTTCTAAAGATAATATTAAGAAAAATCTATGTTCAGTGCACCTTTAGCTAAAATTAAAACTGGCTTTAGGGACTTTAAATAACAAAAGCTTATGTTCGCTTTGTAAATTTCCCACGTTGAAGGCCAAAAAATTGTATTGTTACTAATTCTTTTCAGTTAGAGGTTCAAATTTCACTCATTCTAGCTCGACAATATTTTTGAGAAAAATTATATAATTATCGACTTCTTATAGTTGCTGGTTTTTGGAGCAGCTACTTAGATACAATAAACTAAATGAGAATTAAAATTCAAAGTGGGACATATTAAGAGAAATATCAAGAAACGAGATCATCCCAACGAAAACTAGACAAGCGAAAAAACAATGGATAACAGATGAAACACTCGACACGATGAAAAGGAAACAGCAAACGATGCTAAGGCATGGCACAGAATATAGGATATTAAAAAAAGAAATTGGAAACAAATCACGCAGGCAAGCAAAAGTGTGCAGAAATAGAATAAGCATTATAGAAAAGGCAGATACGCATAAAAGAATAAGAAATAAGAAGACGAAAGACAGGCTATTTAACTAGTTGTAAAAAAATCAAAAGAGGGATGCTGAAAAGAAAGATAAAATACTTCAAAGATGGAACGAATACATCGGAGAACACTTTCATATCGAAAGAGGAAACTGCAATAGCCCGAAATATGGACGAACGAGGAATATTAAAGTATTGAAAAGGAACAAAGCAACAGAACAAGATGGAATTGTAAATGAGATGATGGCAGTTTGAGATGATTTCAGTATTGACAAAATTACAGACATAATAAATAGAATATACGTAGGTGGTGATATACCTGAAGTTCTATTTTCATAGTCCTACGTAAGAAGCCAGGCGCAAACGAATGCGACCCCTATCGGACAATCAGCCTAAGACAGCCACATAACAAAACATCCAGATTCTGATTAATAGAGCGTGTAGTAGAATTAGACCGAAAATAGGACAATACGGTTTCATTAAAGACACTAGAGCAAGGAATGATATATTTATGCCCAGAATGATAACAGAAAGAGTAATACAAATTCAAAAGTATGTATACATGTGTGTTACAGATTACAAAAAGGAGGTTGATAAAGTATGATGCAAAAACCCTGCTTGATTTGTTTGGGCGAGATATTAAAATGATCTAGATGATATTAGAATGATCTAGAACTAATATTGGGAGCAAACCACATACACACGGATGCATAATGAATTGTATCAAGGTTGGATTTCCTCGCAGAAAAATAAATGAAACAAAGACAGTCCAGTTTGAACCTAACTCAGTCAGTTATGTGCCATGCTTGATACACGCTTGGGCGATCTTGTATCTTTCGATACATGACTGACGAGGGAGACTTTTTCCCGCAGTCGGTTGGCATTTCTTTCTGCGGTAGACCAGTTACCATCCAAAGCTATAGAACCCGGTCTGTCCTGCTAGTTACCCATAGCTGGTGGGAGGGGAAGAGGATTCATACCTTTCCCAAGGGCATTAGTGCGTAAGTGAATGTAATGGATTCAACGGGAATTCGAACTTGGCTCTATCCAGGCCGTTATCCATTACTCCACCGTGCCTCTTGGATCGATATAATTTCAATAATGCCTGTCTATTGTTTTAACAGACTTTTTATATGTCATAATATGATTAAATATGCTGAATAAATGCATATATTTTATTTGTAATACTTTTTTAAAACAACAGTAACTAATGTTACAGATTTTGTATTAAAAAAAGAATAGCGAATTCATCTTTTATACCTAAAATTAAATTATTTCCTTCAACTCACCTTCCCGGCACGGTGCTTATTTGGTACGATACGCTTATTATTTTTCAATTAATTTTCTTATTGATATGTTTATTAAAGTTGTATGACATTTCCCGACAGAATGCTTATTTGAATTAGCACGTTTATTTATAAGTTGAACAAATTCGCAACAGCATAACTATCAGACGACATTTGAATTTGGTAGAAAAGAGTTTATCTTAAGATCGATTTTATTTTAAATGTAACTGAAGTGACCAATTCCCTTCGCCTAGCTTCTGGACTATCATAAAACGTATTCTTCCTGTTACTCTGATTGGAAATCTTGAATTATTTGTCTAATCTGTACAGCCATTTCTAAAATGTTAAGTGATTGATTTTGGTTTTTGTGGTTTAGAAACCATTTGTGAGCTATTTAAAGCCGAAACGTATTTTGGGCTGCAAGAATAATTCTTTTTTGTGAGTGAACATTGTGTTAACAATTTTTTGGGGATAAAAATGATTTTTCTAGATATAAATCTTAATATTTAACCCATAGATTGGGGGAGGGGATGAATTCATACCTTTCCCAAAAGGTACTTGTGCGTAAGTGAATGTAACGAACTCAACTGGAATTCAAACCGATTTCTCATTCAAAGCCACAATTCATTACACCACCCGCACATCCAACCTAAGAAATGAATGGATTTGTACCAAACCTGTATCGCCAGAATATTTATTTGGATATCTAAAATATTCCCCTCCTCCCCTGATATGTCTCGGAAAGGGATATATTTGAACGAAGTAGCTAAGTGGTTTTGACTACTATAAGTAGAATATGGTAGCAGTAATCGACTGATACGCGTCCTAGTCGCAGGTAAGAAGTGTAGATCAATGGCGTAGTCCAATGGGCATCGTTATAGATTTAGCTCTCAGACTAAACACGTCCGTCGGTATTTATGACGGACACCAAGCAATCATATTCCAGTGAGGGGGAACACAGGTGTATGCATATTCCATTATATCATCCCTCAAAAAAGAACAACAAGCAACAATATTTATAAACTTGTAATTTAAAAGAAGGAATAGAAAATATGACTTAGTAAAAAAACTCACTATTCCTTTATATTTGTTTGCACACCATTTGAAAACAATGATAGTTTACAAACGACTTCATGTCGCCATTTATAAATATAAATTGCATCTGTCAGCTGATAGTTTCTTTCACTTTGTTCAATCACTTTTTGTACGATTCCTTTCCTCAGTGATAGATTGCAGCTATCTCCAAAAACTTCCAATGGGATTAAGACTTTTACTGGTCAGTTTAAAATAATCCATTTTCCCCTTGTAACTAATTTCATATCCTTTTGGGTGCATTCTTTGGGTCATTATCGTTCTTAAGATACATCATCTGCTACCCAAATGTGGGGTTCTTAAAATTTTCCTATTTTGCCAAAAGATCTCTTGTTAACGCTCTGATTTCAGAATTCCATCAATATAGTTATGGCCTCCAGTAACAGAGGTAGCAGGCCTAGATTATGGATCTCCCACAATGAGTAACTTCGGGTAGGTTGTCCTTTTCATTTAGGCTTAATTTTATCCTCTACAAATTGTTGGTTTGCACTGTGAAAAAGTTATATTTTGTTTTTCTCTGTTCACAGAACCTTTGCCAAGGAACATTGTAGTTCAGGCAAGAATCAGTCTTTCTTTTTTTATGTTGTTTTGTTTTCAACACCCGCTCATAAATATAGTTTTTGGTTTAATGTCTGGCCTATAAGGCGTGTTGAAACTACAGATTGTTTCAGGTCAGCCTTCAGCATACTTGAAATTTTATGTGGAGTTCTATTTTTGTCATCACTAAACCTCATCGGGTACTTCATAATTGTAACCAAAGTTTAATAATTTATTACGTTCAAAGAATCTTTCATTGACTTTCTTCTTCCATTCATAGACGTTCTTGAAAGTAGCATGTTTGTAAATTACTTAATAACGTTGTGCATTTTTTTGAAGATAGTCTTTTATTCCTTAAAAGTATTGTATTTGCTAATAATAACTTCTGGTGTTTTCAGAAATCAACCTTGTCTTCAACATAATTTAAAAAAAACAAGGAATAAGGTGTTAAATTTTCATTCATTGATTCATTCATATTGATAATTTGTTGAATGTTCTAATGAAAACAAGTGATTAAAATGTAATTATGTATTTTTTAAACTGATTAAACGGTAATAATACACAATGTCAGGGTAATCTTTCAGCGGGTTTTTTTGCAGTTTTTCTCTTATAAAAATTGAAATTTCATTATTTACTGTTCTGTATCAAACCTAAGTATTAATAAGTCAAATTTATTTCACTAGATTCTTTTCTTTTCCTGGAGATAT